CCCAAACAGTCCACTCAGCAGCTCTGCTCCTTGAATGTGCAATGAACCATAGCCACTGCTGATGCACATTCATACTAATACTTTTATGACAACTGCTTGCACCTCTTTCCTGGGACCATTACTACTTAGGCATCAGGGTTAAGTCAGGCCTAGAAAAGGGGTAGGGACAGGCCCTGGGGTAAAACCAGAAGCTGAAGTCTGCTTCCTCAGATAATTTTCAAACTTCTGGACTCAGCTATTCTTGCAGAGAACCCAAATAACCCTGAGATTCAGAGTACCCATCCCCACAGCCAATCCTGTACCATTGGAGTGTCAGGACAGAGCCAGAAACCCTCTGGGGGGTATGGGGTGAGGTCCTGCCTGCCAGCATGTATGGCAGGACGAGCTGGCTGGCCAGCTCAGTTTCCCAGGTGATTTTCTACCTCTACCCCATTCATGGTCCTTTATTGTGGTCCCCGTGGTGACCTCCTATCCCTGACCCATCCTTCCCTGTACTGTACCATGAGGACCTGTCTCCATCTGTCCCCTATTTATGTCCTATTTCTGAGCCCATGTGTGGGACCCCATTGTAGGTTTTCATTCCTGCCCCTATCATATCACAGGGTCTCCTATTGTGGCCCTTGCCTCTGTCCCCATCTCTGCTCCTAATCACTGCCCCTCATAATTTGCCACTTTGAGAGCCTAGGTCTTTGTTTTTTGTTTTGTTTTGTTTTTTGAGGCAGGGTCTTGCTCTGCAGTTCAGGCTGGCCTTGAACTCACTGTGTAATCCATGCTGGACTTGAACTCCTGGCAATCCAGGTATACGCCACCAGGCCTGGGTTTGTGTCTGCTTCTGTCATGTTCTGCTTGTCATATTTTCTCCTCAATTCTTTTTTTTTTTTTTTTTGGTACCGGGGATCGAACTTGGGACCTTGCACTTGCAAGGCAGGTGCTGGCACCACTGAGTTAATCCCCAGCCCATCTCCTCAATTCTTGAGCCTGGTATCAGTTAGTGACCCTTGTCCCTGTAGTTGCCTCTGTGTGGTACCAAGACATCTCTGGATGCGACCCCTCCTTCAAACAAGTCTTGTTAAAGGACCAGAGACCTATGTGACCCTATGTGATCTTAACCAGGAGAGCCAATCCAAGAGGGTACCAGAACAAAACAAACACAAACGTGGTCTTTCAACATGCACTGGGTATCCCCTGCCTACTGAGACTGCAGTTATTACTGTTCGCTCTAGCCCTTACAATAGGTCTGCAAACTGCTGTTGCTTTTCCTCTGATTAGGAAAGAAGAGTGGTATGGAAGGCAATCTCAGCTTGGTAACTGATTTAAACCGTGAAGCAGAGAGGAGACATGAGCCCATGCCTTCATCCATGTGTCCATTTACCAAGGACCCATTGAGCCCCACCTCCTGTCATGCATCTTCTGGGCAGTGTTTGATGAGGGGACAGACAGGAAAGCAAGAAAGACTCGATAATCAGCAACATGATTTGGCTGGATTTTAAGCAGATTTCTAGTTTGGATGATAGGTTGATGATGAATGCTTTGCTGCACTGGGGAAGCAGACTTCAGTTGCCTGAAGATGGCCGGGTATGGTGGCACATGCCTGTAATGCCAGCACTCAGGAGTCTGAGGCAGGAGGATTGCAGTGAGTTCAAGGCCAGCCTGAACTACATAAGGAGACCTTGTTAAAAAATAAAATGTCAGAATGAGATCTCTAGGAAATGGTGAGATGTGCAGGTCTCAGTGCAGAGCAGCATGAGGTCTGGAGAAAGGGAATCCTCACAGGGCTTGCAACCTATTGTGAGAGCTATCTTTCTTATTCTGAGTCCCATGGGCAGAGTTGTCACTCTGACATGGCTGTGTCTATCTGGCAATGTGAATGGATGGGTGTATAATGCATGTCAGCTGAGCACTACTGTGAACACTGCTGCCCTTCCTCCCCTTCTGTTCCAGGAGAATCCTTGTATCCCCTCCACCCCCCAATACCAGCTCTGACACTGATCCTTCAACTCCATGATGACATTTGACCTAATTCCATTTTCAACCTCTGATGACTGATCCAGGCTGTGAGTGACCCTGTGGAAGGGGATTTGTGTGATGCCCTATGGCCTCCTTTCTGGTCAGTATTACTGCAAAGTCCAGATCTCGGGCCAGCGGTGTGACTCCAGCCCAATCATTATGACCTAAATCCAACTCAGCCTAAGGTCTGACAGCATATGTGACCCTCGTGATGGGCTTCTACTCCCTACTTGGTCAACACCTAATCACTGCCTTGATAACAATGCCCCACTCAACCCACGTCAAGTCATTAGCAATCTGAGTGCCCTAAACCTTAGCCTGCAGGTGCAACCCCAGCACCTGCAAGTGATCACTCATACGCTCCTTGACCCCTCTAGTGATAATTGTCCCTTTGTCCATGGGCAGACTGTAGCAATTGTCTGGTGAGTCTTGATCCACCCTCTGATTTGACCTTGACCTTGGACTCTGAGCTAGAAAGAAACAAAAGAGTATAAGGATGTACTCATAGTGACTGTAGACTGAGCCGTGCACATGAGTGGGTGCCACTCACTGAGCTGGACAACAAGGTCAACCAACACCATAGCTAGTTGAACCAACATATGCCCTCAAGTGGGAGCTTGGGAATGAAAGAAAGTGATTAAATATGTTACAAATGTTCTGTACACTAGATTTTTTTTTTGGTACCAGGGATCGAACTTGGGACCTTGCGATTGCAAGGCAGGTGGTGGAACCACTGAGCTAAATCCCGGCCCTCTGTACACTAGATTTAAAAGTATTTCTCAGCAAACACATTTGGAGAAAGACTCAGTCCAAGGAATAACTGCATCCCCTTCTTGCCTTGAATGTTACAAACCCTTTGTTTAACTTTTTTTTAACCCTAGTAATGTCCTCATATCCTTCTTGCCTTTTTGCCTCTTCTGCTGCCCTTCTCCCTTCCCCTCTTTCTCCCCCTCCTGCCTCTCCTTTGTGATCATTTTAGCTTTTTGAGACAGGTCTTGCTATATATTCCAGGCTGGTTTTGAACTCATTATGTAGCCTAGGCTGGCCTCAAACTCCTGAGTCCACCTGCCTCAACCTCCCAAGTGCTGGGATTATAGGTGTGTGCCACCACACCCGGCTCTTGTCTACTGTGAAGCAGTGTGAGAGTACTCCAGTCTCCTTTCCCTATCAGCTACTGGCAGAGGAGCATTCAAACCCTGCACTTACCTTATCCCACAACAGGCAGTCCAGTGCATGACTCCCCAGGCCCCTACCCTTTGTAGAGTTCCTGTCCTTCCCCTAGCCAACTTCTCTGCCCTATAGACCATTTTCTGGGATCTGAGCAGTGACCCCCACTCCTACCTCCCACTCCCAAGCTACCAGTCCTGTGGCTGTGACTTTCTGGTGTCTACAATAGCAGGGATAAGGTAGCACCTGGGTTTTAGGGTAACTCCCCCCACCCCGCATCCCTCAGCTGTTCTGCAAGGGAGGGTCTCTGCCTATGGCACCCCCACCTCCATAGCCACTACTTCCACGGGCTCCACCAGTTTGAGTACTAACAAGGTCTTGTTATGTAATTCAGGCTGGCCTTGAACTCACTAAGTAGCTCACGCTGGCCTCTTAATTCACCAAGATCCTCCACCTCAGCGTCCCAAGTGCTGGGATTACAGGGGTGCACCTCAATGGCCAGCCCCAGTCTGAGTACTTCTGCGCTGCCCTTGACCAGGCCACAGTTGAGACCAAGCTTGACCAGGACCTCCAGTCAGCTGCCTGTGAGTAGCCGGGAGGGTCAAGACTTGGAGCTTAAGAAGGGGTAAGTGTCCAGAGAGAGCTATTTGGAGGAAGATGCAGAGCGGAGTTGGGAAGGCTAGGAGATACAGGTGAAGTTTTCAGCATGGCCAGAGGCTCTGTGGCTTGGACAGAGCCTGTGTTATTCTCAGAACAGTGTGGCAGAGAAGTGGGCCAGAATTTAAGGACACTGAAACTTCATTTGTCTCAGAGTGTCCCATGGTCTACCCCTTCCCACTATACACAATCTCCAGGGACTGCCCAAGCTGGCTTCAGCCTCAAGTTTGGAGACAGCAGAACCCTCAGTGTTTCCTCCATCCAGCCTGGCAACCCTATAACAACTGCCAGCTGCCAAAGATGAGGAATCTGAGGAATAAGGTGGGAGTCACATGTCACTAGTATCTTAGGAGGGATGGGAGCCATACGGATAGAGATCCCTGGGATCTTGGGGGAATGGTAGCCTAAATCCTGAGGGTCCTTTGTCCTGGAGTGGTCTGGGCCTGAGAGTCTGTGTCTCACACCGGGCCCTAGAGAAGCCCCTTCTGTAATGGGAGACTGGCTCCTGCATTTTGGACTGGCTTGGACTTTGCACCTGTAGTCAGTGGGGCTGGCCTCTTTCTGCTAGTGTCCGTACTGCCTCATGTCCTGGCCTATTACATTGTCCTGTGCTATGAGACCTAGGTCAGTGGTGTGGTATCAGTCTGTGGCTAGGTAGTGCTGGGTAGTGAGTAGGAGTAGCCCTGACTGCTGACCCCTAATTCCAGGAACCTGAAACTGACAGGCATTAGTCAGTGTCTGTGCCTAGTCCCTAGCCTACAGCACCAGCTATGCTCATCTGCTACCCTGAGGGCAGCTGTTCCAGGTGACTTTACCTCATGCACCCAGGGAGGCAAGATCCTGTGACCGAAACTATATGATTCCCAGTGCTGCCAAAACATTTGAAACAACACCTAGATCAAGTGGAAAATCCCTAGTGTAGAACGTCATCATGTCACAAAACAAAACAGACAAAGTGCAACATTTTTTAAAAGTTGAGTTTAAAAAAAAAAAAAGTTGAGTTTTTCCAAGCATGGTGGCATACTCGTTTAATCCCAGCACTCTGAGAGCTTGAAGCAAGAGGATCCCAAGTTTGAGCCCAACCTGGGCAACCTAGCAAGATCCTGTCTCAAAACAGAAAATAGAAAAAGAACTGGGGATGTAACTCAGTGCAAAGACACTGAGTTCAATCTCCATTACTGCAAAAAAAATAAAAATAATAAAAATTGGGATTTTTATCCATTCATGCTGAAATGCTAGACCAGTAACTGCACAAAAGAAAGAAGGATCTCTGGACCCACATGATCATGACGCCCTCATCCCACCTCCACTCTCCACAGGACTGTGGCTCTACCTAGGTCTTTCTTCTTTGAATTGGGAACATGCTACTCCAGGATACTGAAGCTATGGTCAACCAAGGGGACAAGGAGACCTGAGAAGAGCTCCATCTTTCTGGATACTGTGAGGTTCCAGAGACTCCACCCCACATCTGGTGGAGCCACAAATTATAGCAGGACAGGACTGATGGAGCGAGTCTAAGGTCAGGAGATCACAGAGGCCTGGAGAATACACTGAGAGGACTGACACCTATAGGTGGAGAATGTAGGTAGGGGGAAATGGCACATGGAAAGAGTAGAAGGTAAGAATAGGCAGGAGCCAGATCTCACAGGACCTTGTGAAACAGGAGAGGGGCTTTACCTTTATCCCAGGGAAGTGGGGAACTATGGGAGAAATTTGAACTGAGACGATATCTGAGGAGAATGGATTGTTTGGGAGAGGCCCAAATGGAGACTGCTGAAATGATTGAGTGAGCAATGGCATTATCTGGACTAGATTAAGGCCTTTGGAATGAGGGAAAATAGATTCAAAAGAGATTAGGAAACAGAAAGGGGCAAGAGGGGGCTGTGAAAGCTAATGTGAGGAAGGGTGGCAGGTACGGGGCTGTACTCATTGCCCTGTATCTGATTTTCTCTACCTTCCTGCTAGGTTCTACACCTGCCACAAGTAAAGGAATGGTCTAGGCAGAGATTTGTGGATCCCAAGGCTACATAGCATTTATAAGATCTCTATCAGGGAGGCTGCATGAAGGCAGCTAGGACAGGCATTGTCTGTACCATACCTGAGACTTGTGCCTGCCTGGTCTATAGCATCTTGTTTCATAGAGGTGGCCTCGGTCAGTTTGTGTCCCAGGCTGGAGGAGGCTATGGCATAGGAATTACAGGAGTATCATGAGGTTCATCTTACCTTGTCCTTTTTCCTACCAGCGTGTGAGTGCCACCTGCAGGGTTCACTAAGGACCCAGTGTACCCTGCTTTGTGGGCAGCGCTCCTACTATCCTCACATCATTGGACCACCACATCTGGAACACATGGCTTTAGGCCCACTGGCTGCACTGGTGAGCCTTCAGAGCCAGTGGTTGTGGGATTTAGGGCCACCCATCTTTTTTGAATGACTTTATTGTCCTGTTACTCCTTATAGTTACCACTACTATGCTGAGGGTGCCACCAGTGCCATCTGTAACCCTGTGAATGGGCAGTACATATGCCAGGCAGGACTTGGTCCCTGCTGTGACTATTGCCTCTAAAGCTGGTGAGGCTTCCTGCAATGGACATTCTGAATTGTGCCACTCACTCACAGGTGTCTTCCAGGCCTTCCAGGGGGCTTCCATAGGTTAGCAGTGCAAGGGGTGACCACTGACACTGACTGGGCAGGAATTATGATGAGTGGGCTGGACCCCATCTCATATGCTACTGGCCCCTGGTGCTTGGATAGATGCTATGAAGACCCTACTTTGGGCTCTGGCCAGCAGTGCCAGGTGTACCTCTATCTTAGATACTGTATCTCTAGCCTCTCTTATGGGAGTTCTGGCCATGTGGACAGCCCAAGTGGGGATGACCTATGGCTCTGTGCACCTGGCTATGCAGGTGAGGCATGGTTGGCCATTAGCAAACTTACAGCCCTGGTCACTTGTTCTCAGTTCCATCAGGTCCACATGAAAAATATTTGCCCATCCTACCTGAATTCTGAGCTACAGGCTGGACACCTGTCTTCATGGAGTTCCTGTTCTGGGGAAGGAGAGCCAAATGGGCAGACTTATAGGCATGGCCTTGTAAGACAGGAAGATAGGCTATAGTATAACTATTGTGTTCTCTCCCGTCTTGGTCAGACCTGACTTCCTGTCTGGGTATGTGGGACCTATAGTCCCCAAGGGTACAGGAAGTCACTTGAGACAACACACATATACCCCAATTCTCTCTAGGCCTCCATTGTGACTGCTACTCCTCTGGCTACTTTGGGCATCCTTGGCTATGAAAGGACTCAAGAAGGACTCCACTACTAGCCCTCCCAGTGCAATAACAATAATGATCATGCTGTCTGTGATCCCTTCAGTGGGCACTGCCAACATTGTGTGCACTATAGCCATGACCCCAGCTGTGCCCACTGTAGGTCTGGCCTCCATGGCAGTGCTTGGTGCCCAAAAAACTGTCAACATAAGTGTGTGGATGAGCGATGAGGACATCAGGATGGCTGGGTGTGGTCTCCCCTCCATAGAGTCTGACAAGCCTTTCTTCTTCCCAGGTGGCGGAAGTTGTAAACAGGAGCACTGTTTCTGCCCAGTGTCCATCTGAAGCTGAAGCTTGCTTCTGAAACCACATCAGTGCATGTGTGTGTGCCAAAGGTGAGCATTCATGTTCTTTTCCCCCAAGGAAGGTGTTTGGACCTGATGACTTACCTGTGCTCTCTTCCTCAGGTCACAGGTCAGTGCTCCTGCTGGGAATGATTTGGGGTTACACATTCTCCTGGTGTTAAGATGAATATTGACCATCCAGGAGCAGGAGGAGAGCAGGAGTGCCGAGGTGAGTGGCATACTCACACAGTCCACTAAAAGGGGTGAGGGCCACTCAGTGGGGAGTAGTAAGGGAGCTATTGAGGTTTTCCTGAGGGAGAAACCCTCAGGGAGTACTTGAAGTACTTGTGAAAATAGCTATGGGGAAAAAGTTGACAATCCTAGGTAGGAGGTGCCTGCAGAAAGGACACCTTGGATGGATCCTTCCTGAGCCTGTCTGCCAGGCCTTGACCCTGGTAATCCCTAACTGGGTTGTAGATCCTGGAGCTCTGTGCTATTTTCCTGCCCAGAGTCTGCTGTGCATGATGAGGATGTAGCTCAGTGGTAGAGTACTTGCCTAGCATATGAAAGGCCCTGAATTCCATCCTCGTGCCACAAATTAAACAAAGGCTGCTATGCAGTGTGGCCTCTCTGCTCAGGATGGATGCTGGTGCCCATGGCAGGTCTAAGCAGGGAAAGACTGGTGCGCTGTAGGGAACAGGGAAAGGGGACATTACTAGAACCTCTGCAGTAAGTCCTAGTCTCCTGCAAGCCACAGCAGCACAAGGCAAATTACAGGAAAGGTAGAAAAATGAGACTTTGAGAAGAAGCTGAGCTTTGGGTCTGATCAGTGCTGCTCTGGACAGCAAAGGTGAAAGCCCCCACCTTACTGCACCTTTTATTCAGTACATCGGGAGAAACAAATGTAACAAATGACTTGCAGAGGGCCGGGGATTTAGCTCAGTGGTTTTGCTGCCTGCTGCGCAAGCGCAAAGACCTGAGTTCAATCTCCGATACCGCATCACCGGATCATTGAGGTCTCAGTTGTGACTGGAGGCCAAAATGGAATTATGTCTCGGAATTCCATAGCTGGGCTGTAGGCAGGAGAACTAGGCTAACCTCATACTTACACAGAACCATGCTTAAAGGAAAAAAGAAAAAAAGAAAAAAAGAGCCATGCTTAAAGGGGAGGCTAGGAAGAGTGCCATCTTCTGTCAGCCCTTATCTTTTTTTTTTTTTTTTGGTACCTGGGATCAAACTCGGGGACCTTGCGCTTGCGAGGCAGGCAATGGAACCACTGAGCTAAATCCCGGGCCTTCTATACCCTTATTTTATTTCTTCCCCACAGGGCTCAGTCTTGCACAGTTGTGACACACAGAAGGGTGCCTGTCTGCTTGCAGAGAGGATGTCTCAAGGTTGAGGTGCCAGACATGTGCCTGTGACTCTAGAGATTCCTTTCTACACAGCAAATCCTGTTTTACTATTATTGGGTAGCTTGCTTCTAAAAAGTGGCTCGCCAACTAAACATTACTGGGTTTGGGGTTGTGTGTCTCTCCTTCCCGAGCTGGATTCCAGGTTTTTCTCATCTTGAACAAAGAACTGAATGAAACAAGCAAAAAGCAGTGGCAAAGTTTATTTGAGAAAGTAAATGAGGAGAGTGGGAGAGACATTGGCTCTGCAGAGCAAGCTTGGGCTGAGTAAAGAGAAAAAGGGGGTAAGAGCAAAGATAAAAGTACACATTACATCTGGGAAACACAGCATGGCCTACATGGAAAAGCTACAAAAGCAAAGTATTCATGGTATCAATGTGTCCTTTTTTGTTATCTAAATCTCGAGGAAACCTGAGAGAACTTCTACATGTGGGTCCTGAAAGGCACTGAGATCCCATGCCTCAGACTGATGTCAGGTCTAAACCATTCTACTGAAAACCTGCTCAAGTTCTCCAGAGAAGTCAACATGCAGGGCTTTGGGGACTGTTCTGGGCATGTGTCTGGGATCTTGTAGTTAACATATCACACCTACTTCCCCAGCCAGATTTGCCTTGCCCTAATCTCCTATCTGATTACCTGCTTCTCTTCCTGGGACCCCTGCCTGGCTGTGATCCAGTTGCAGTGTCCTCTATTACCCAGGAGGTAGCTACTCTTTGCCAGGGGATTCCAGGCTAGGGTGCTGGGTGCCATACCTGGGAGCCAGGGTGGACACTTGCAGGCCCTAGAGTGGGTACTGCATGAGGCACAGAAACTCTTGGAATTTCCTTCACTCCCTGTGGGAACCTGTAGCAAATTACAGAGTGGAGGGCTGGAGATTTAGCTTATTGGTTCCACCGCCTGCCTCACAAGCTCAAGGTCCCGAGTTTGATCCTTGGTACCAAAAAAATAAAAAAATTACAGAGTGGACAGCTGTACTCAGGCAAGGGATCTGGGATCAGGAGGAAGAGGGTCTCTGCCCAGCTTTCCAAAGTCATAGGTTGACATGTCTGAGAATCAGGCAGTATCTTAGTTACTGCTCCCCCCCCCCCCATACCAGGGATTGAACTCAGGACCTTGTGCTTGCGAGGCAGGTGCAGAGCCACTGAGCTACATCCCCAGCCCAGTTACTGTTCTTATTTCTGAGACAAAATACCTGACACCCAAAGTTAAAGGAGGAAAGATTTATTTAGCTCACAGTTTGTGAAGATTTCAGTCTATAATCAGCTGCTTCCAAAGCAGGGTGGCATGAGAGACAGACATTGTGGAGAAGAAATAGTTCATAGCAGCCAGAAGGTAGCAAAGCAAGTGAAAGACAAGCACAGCTCTTTCTATCCCTGATATTTTATCCAGGCTACTTAGGGTGGGCAGCACTTACACCCTTAATCCTAGTCCTGAGTTTGATCCCCGGTACCAAAATAATAATAATAATAATAATCCTACCCTGATTGATTTTAGTCTATATAACATTTAACAACAGTTTGCAATGTAGCTCAGCAGCATAGAGCTTGCCAGGCAAGTGCAAGGCCCTAAGTTTGATTCCTGGTACCAAAACAAAACAAAAAAACCAACTAGTTTAAAAAATTCCTGAAAATTTTGGCCTGGGCAGGGTCTCAGTTCTAAAATCCTTGCCTCACAGAAACCTTGGGGAGTGATATATTCAGCTCAGGCAGGTGTAGTTTCAGGTTCACTCCTGCTGTAGGGGTTGCAGATGGCCCAGGTCAGTATGACAGGGTTGCTGAGGGCCTATATGACTTTACAGCCATGGTACAGGCTACAGAAGAGCCAGTGCAGAGGCCCAGGAACTACTGAAGAAAGTGCAGAGAGCCCCTGGAGCAGTCTGGAGGGTACATTGTGGGGTAAAGTGGGGCAGGCACAGGGTAGAGGAGGGTCAGATAGGAGGGTCAGAGTCAGAACAGGGATGTTGTATAAGGGACAGGGTTGGGTCCAGATCAGGTTCAGACTTCTACAGGAATCTGGGCCTTGGTAAGGTTCAGAACAAGAGGATAGCTGTTGATTAGTGTTATGGCTTGTATCTAGATGTCTCCCCAGAGCCTCAGGTGGTCATAGGTAGGAGTTTTGGGAAGTGACTGCATCTAAAGTGTATGATGCTGGGATTAAGGATATGATGCTGGGATTGATTCCTGGTGTGATTCTAGGATTAAGAGTTCCCCACCCTGGGTGTGAGTACTGTATGTCCTAAGGGTGGGTAGCCTGGATAGAATAAAAGGGACAGAAAGAGGACTATGGTTGTGCTTGCTGCTTTGCTACTTTGTTGCTTGTTGCTTTCTGCCTGGCATGAACTGAACTGTTTCTCTTCTGCCATGCCACCCTCCCTTGGAGCCAGCCAACTATGAACTGATATCTCTACAAATTGTGAGCCAGAATAAACCTTTCCTCCTTTAACTTTAGGTGTCCAGTATTTTGTCTCAGCAATGAGAAAAGTAACTAAGACAATTAGGGTCAAGGTTCATTTAGAGTTAGGGCTGAGGTCAGGGTCAGGGTGGTGATAGATTATTAGGGACAGAGGTCAGAGCCTGGCTCATATGACCTGATCCCCAGGGTTAGAGCACTAGTTGGCACTGAATGATCAGGAACTGAGAAAAGGCTTCCACCCTATAAGGCCCTGGAAAAGCGCTCCTTGAGCACCTGCAGCCAGGTACTCTTACATATACCACCTGCTGTCAGCTATCTATGGACTCTGGGACCACCTGGGTGACTCAATGCAACCCCAGAGTTGACCCAGGCATCTCCTGATCTTGAGAAACCAGAGACTGCACCAAGTGCCCACTGACCCTAAGTAACCCCTGTGTGACCCCATGAAGTCCCCCACTGGCCTTCTGATCTTGAGTAAGCAGAGAGATCATGTTAACTCCTTGAAGCCATCTAGTGCCCTTGACCATTATAGATCTCTATCTCTAGTAATTTAAACTTTGGAGTCATCTCTAGCATCCCACAGATTCCTCCAGTCAACCGTAGGATCCTTGAGTTGATTGGAGACTACTCCAGTGAGGTCATCCCAATGCTCCGCAGATTGGCTGCCCCTGTGCTCTTTCCTTTTTTCTTGAAGCTGGGTGGTTCCCTCAGAATCCCAGTCCCCCTCAGCTCCCACCTCTGTAGCTTCCAAAACGCCAAGCCTGGCCCCAGATTCTGTGTTCACAGCAGTGGTTCAAAGCAAGCCTGACTCTAAATACCGGAGGACTCCACGGACAACGCCAGCCCCACCCACCCTGGTCCCAAGGGCCTGGGTGGGGCGGGTGCCTGCCCGAGGCTCACATTCCAACCCCGGCTCCCTTGCTCCTGGAGGGTTGGAAGCTCTGGAGTGGATAATAGCCACAAGATCTGGATTCACTTGTTGCTGCTGCCACGGCTGCCCATGTTCTTTTCCCTCTCTTTTTTTTGAGACATGGTCTCATTAGGTAGCTAAAACTGGTCTTGAACTCACTATATAGCCTGGGCTAGCCTCGAACTCGCAGAGATCCTCCTGCCTCACCCTCCTGAGTGCTGGGATTACAGGCACACAGCACCACACCCAGCTTCAGTTCCCATTTTTGTACTGGGAAACTGAGGTTGCAATTTTCATATCTATTTGCTATGGTGAGTAGGGGCAGCAGAGCTCTCTAGAGCTGTGCTTCAGGCAAGGTGTGACCTTTGCTCATCTCTCCCCTGGGTTTGTCCTGTCCTTCAGGCTGCAAAACTCCCCATTGCCAGGCATGGTGCTGCATGCCTGTAATCCCAGCACTTGGGAGGCTGAGGCAGGAGGATCATCATGAGTTTGAGGCCAA